CCTGAAGGGCACTGTTGTACTGCTGCCCCCTCGACACGGCGAACTTCTTGCTGGCAGGGTTTCGGGCATGAGCCTTACAGATAGCATGGTAGTCGGATGTAGCTGCATCACCGTGCCCGGATCACTTTCTGCGTCAACACACAGCTGGCAGTAAGACTTCGAAACATCACGCCGCCAAGGCATTCACATGCACAGGCCACCCATACTGTGTGTAGGGTTCTTGACAATTAGAACAAGGCTTTGGAGACCCTCCTCATAGTAATTATGCTGATCATACCGGAATAATAGTGGCAACAACTACCCATAGGCTCCATAGTAGTTCCTTTCTGGGACTACTGTGTAGGATTCTAAGTATGAACCCCAAAAAGGAACTACTCTGGAGCCTCTCGCTAATCTGCTTTCCGTCACCCCACACTGCCTGCTGCGATTGTAGGGCGACGAACTTGTCCAGAATATCTGCCTCAGGAGTGCTTAAAGGATCGTGGGACTTAGTAACTAGGGTTCCTCAAAAAGCGCCCCTTAATAGGGATTCTACAAGAAGGTAGGATGTTTTAGGGTTACTTAAAGGATCGTGGGACTTAGTAACTAGGGTTATAGTTAGGGTAACTATACTTCTAACCCCAATTAAGGTACTTATAACCTCTAGACCCAAGAGTAGCCTAGGAATAAAAAGGGTGCCCTTTTTGGTTTAAAGGGGCCTATAAGGGAACCTGACACCTACAAAAAGGGAATAAGGGCCTACTCCAGATCCTAGACCTTATTTGCTAACTCCCATGATCCTCCAAGTGGGGAGGCCGGGCTCGCGGACATGGAATCCCAAGTCTTACAAGGGACTCTAGCGGATTAGGGTATACAGGCTTTAGGGCTTGGGGCTTAGGGGTGTAGGTTGGATACTGCCCCCCATACAGTAACAGTCTAGAATCGGGCTACTATTAAGGGCCTAATATATCTATATTATGAATATTCTCCAACTGTTACTGAGTGGGGGCAGTATCCAAGGTATAGGGGTTTGGGGTTCAGAATTTCAAAGAGGCCGAGGGGTTGTACAACATCCGGGCCGGCCTCAGTGATCATGGTGCGTGGGTTCTTCTACTTTGGTGATATCTCTGTCTGACCCCGGCACAGGGCGACTTCACCTGCTTTTCGTCTGAACCAAACCAACCAATACACGACAGGCATGAGCATGGAAAGGGCGACGTTTCGATTGTGAGCCCACCAAGGCCCGTGCAGCTTCCGCTGTAAAGCTGCCAACATTCGCCAAAGAACCTCCAGATCACGGAATCAAGACGGAGAAGTATGAGTTTTGGGGCTTAGGTGTCGGTGCATATAGGTTTGCAAAGGGTTTAGGGCAGTTTTGCGTATGGGATGTTGTTAGTATTCCTTCTTTTTGCGACTGTGTTGAAGGCCCTGAACCCTATACCCAACAAAATCTGAAAACTAAACTTTGACCTGTTACCCAACACTGCCCGCGTATTGTGGTTGCCATATTCATCGAGAATGATATACCCCCGAACCTTTTCCAAGACTTCAGTATTGCTATGGCCACAGTTTTCATGAGGAACCCTGCACAGCCCTGAGAAACACGAGGAGAAGGCATCTAACCTGCATACTTACCCTTCTCAAGCTTCTCTCTGCTTTAACCTATTATGGAACCTTAACACGACGCCTGCGGAACTCTTACAGGACCCCTCAAGTACCATTCATGCACCCAAAGGCTCCATGTACACATATAGTAGGTACTTAGCCATTAAAGTACCTATATAGGGACCCCTTTAAGGCCTAAGTACCTACTATATGGGCACATGGAGCCTTAGGGGCAGGACCCTTTTAGCTGCTTTAGCCCCGAGAAGAGCCCGGGAGTCCGGCTGCTGGTCTTCGGCTGGTCTGGTAGCTGCGTCAGCTGGCCTTTCCCGAAGGGTCCAAGTACCATTTTAGTAGGTACCCAGTACCTATAATATATATATATATATATATGTACATATATATATATATGTACATACATATGTATATATATATACACACTATACTACTATACGATTACTTGGCGCCGAGTCAGGTTTACCGCAAATCCCCCCCCCGCCCCCCGCGCCGCCCAAAGCATGAAATCCCGCTCTCTGGCACCAGATGAACATACGTACGAATGTGCAGCTGCTGACGCGCGAACACGGTTGTCCTACCAAGCCCAGCGCTGAACCGTTGGAGACGCCAATACATGAAGCCGGCGTCTGAATAGCACAAGCCTGAAATCCGAAGCCCTTGAACCGAACTCCAAAGCGGCCTTCAAACCGATAGTTCAAAGGCCTCGAAAACCACTAGAGAAACACCCATTTCTCACCCTAAGCTTTATAAACCCTAAACCCTAAAGCCCAAACCCTAAACCCTATTGTAAACCCTGAAGCCCAAATCCTAAACCCTATGATAAACCCTAAAGCCCCAAACCCTAAACCCTAAAATCCATTATAAACCCTAAAGCCCCGGACTTCGGGCCTTTTGCTTCGTCCCTCAGTGAGACCATCATGTCAAGGGCCTGCCGAAGGGTCGGGACTTGCTTCGCCCTTGCTTTCACTTACCTTTGGTTAGTAGGGAATAGGGCTCCTTTAAAGGGATCTATAGGGGTTTAGGGCTCCTTCAAAGGGATCTTTACCTTTGGTTCGTAGGGAATGGAAGAATGGTAGTAATAGTAGTTGTAACTATACCCAATTCCTCCATTCTTTCTTCGGGCGTCCTTTCAATCCCCCAAGGCTCCATGTACCCATAGTAGGGTTCCTTTAAAAGGGGTCCTTTGAAAGGTTCTATAGGGTTTAGGGTATAAGGGTCCATGGTACCCATATAAGATATACTTAGGCCTACTTAAAGTACCTATATAGGAACCCCTTTAAGGCTTAAGTATCTACTATAAAGGTACATGGAGCCTTTGGGATCACGACAGCAAAACTCCCCCGGGGCTCATGTTTCGTGGATACTGGATACATATCATATATGGTTCGTATGAGATACTGCTTAAGTAACTGCAGCTTTAGGGAATGATGATGATATAAGGATATACAGTAGAAGCCAGAAAGTTGGAACATCATTGTCCGCATGCCCTTAAGGTAAAGTATAAGGGATCCTAGCACTAATCCTCCTAAAGCAATGTTCCAACTTTCTGGCTCCTACTGTAAGCATAATAGAAATGATGACAATTAGAAGAAAGTCTCAGGGAGCAAGGGCGTCCACACACTGAAGCTTGAAGGCTAGGCGACCCGAAACCCCAAACCCCTAAAGCCTTAAAGCTCTAAGTCTCCCAAACCCTAAATCCCTACACCCAATAAACCCCTAAAGCCCTATTCTGATGGCATGTCGGCCTCACTCGCCGAAGCCTTGGCGAGCCTCAGAAACTCAGCAAGAACTGCGGGGAGTCGAGCTCAGAACCGAGCCCATACTACACTGTACTATACGAGACTATACTAATAATACAATATAGTACTATGACCACTATAATCTACTGTAACCTATTATTATCTACTCTGAAAGACCATAATCCCCTAGACCCTGAACCCCTGAACTCTCGGCCCTTATAAGCCCTAAACCCTAAACCTTATCAAAGCTAAACCCTAATCTTAAGATTTAGGTCAAATCTACTCTAACCTACTACTATCTACTATGAGATAACATAACCCCCTAGACCCTGAACCTTACAAGCTTTCAAACCTTCAATGCTAAACCCTAATCCCAAGAGTTAGGTCAGATCTCTTGGCTCCCTGCTCTTCGCTCTGCAGCAGCTCTGCCAGAACTGGGCTTCAGATCGCTTCAAACATCTTCCTAGGGTTTAGGGTTTAGGGTTTTAGGGCTTTAGGGTTTGGGGTTTAGGGTTTGGGGTTTAGGGTTTGGATTTAGGGTTTTAGGGTTTAGGGACTCGATGTCCGAAAAAAAAACCTTATAATGCTTCGTTGTAGAATATCATAGCATAGACTGTGAGGTTGTAGCATATCACGCTGCAGTATGGTGTCGTATATTGTAGCATGGCACGTTGTGATCTGGTATGCTGTATTTGAGCCCCAAAACTTGAAGGCCCTAAACAGATCATAAGCCTCAGCTGCGATGCTCAGATAATTTAGCCTTCCTGAGCCCTATGCGTCGTTCATTTACAATCGAAGCACACAGCACTTAGTGTAGTATAGTAGTAGGATAGCACAGTCTAGTATAGTATAAAATAGCATAGCACAGTATAGTATCGTAGAGCACAGTGTCATCTGCCAATAAAACAAAGGTCATCGCATCCATCCGCTGATACTTCACGGCTTGAGATCCCGGGCTCGGGCTTCAGGACATTGACATCTAGCCTATCTTGAGGTCTCGTAGGGGGCTTGGTAGGCTTCATGTTGCAATCCCTGAACTCTCGGATCAGACAGAAAAACCCTAGGCGGCCCCCGGCGAAGTCCTCGCCAAGCACTGCGCAGATGTAGCAAAGAAGCCCACTTGGAGGGTCATGGGACTTAGTAAGTAAGGTTATAAGTACCTTAATTGGGGTTATAAGTATGGTTACCCTAATTATAACCCTAGTTACTAAGTCCCACGATCCTTTAAGAAGAAGCCCAGGAGCCTTGTTGCAAGCGACGTGCCGCATTCTCACGATGCACCTGCAGCCAGATATCCATGACCTGAGAGGTCCCGGGTGTTCCTCGGGCCTTAATTTATTAATTATTGGACTAGGGTCTAGGGTTCTCTTTAAAGGTTCCTTTTAAAAGGGGTCTGTAAGGATCAGATTACTATACCCTGAATAATTGGACGGTTCCTTTTAAAAGGGGTCTACAAGGATCAGATTACTATACCTTGAGCCGGGCTTTAGCCGGGAGCTGCAGTTTTGGTTTGGAGTGAAGAGCTTGCCGGGGCAAAGGATTGGGGTTTAGGGTTTACGGTTTAGGGGTGGCCATGACATACCCTAGAGTCGGTGTTGGATCTACCTGGCTTCTTTTTGTTCACTACATTATATCCTAGGCTAAGACAGGCATTTATAAAGCAACACGTATAGCGTAACAGCGCACTACAGCACAATATGCAGTTACACAAAAACACTGTAATACACCATGTATGTGTAAATAACCTTCTAGCATATATGGTGCTACAACTGTGACATATCAACACAATTAAAATGTCATGCAAAAAAACATTTCTGCATATCTGTATATATATATATATATGTATATATAGACATAAGATATTGATGTAGATACGGATATAGATATAGGCATAATTGTGTGTGCATATACAAACAGCATGATACTTAATAACTTAATAGACAATAGGTACTGTAATATGCGTAAATGTAGGAATGACTGTATTTGATAATGTATACGACAGTGTCGCGTAGTGTAGTATGAAAGAACAATTTTATTACTCCATTTTAGTATATTATAGCATAGTGTGATGTAGTACAATAGAAAAGAACATACTGTAATATACTAGAAAAAAGCAGAGACTAGAATAGACTAGAGTACGGGGCTTGAAGGCCTAAGGCGTTACGTCAAACTCCTGGCGCATGCATGTGCTGCTCTATACCAACCAAAAGTTGGTTTGGCAAGCTCGAGTTCTTTTGACTGCTTTGTACAACCAGTTTCTGAAGATTCCAATCTTGGTGCATACATGCGCCACTAGCCCAGGCCCAACCAACAACTCTTCGGATTAGACCTTTATCCACAAAAAGCTCCCTTGAAACACCAAACAGCTGCCACAACAAACCGTACACCCCAGGCTCAGGACCCCTAAACCCGAAACCCTAAACCCTAAATCCTAAACCCTAAACCCTAAACCCCTAAACCCCTAAATCCCCTAAACCCCTAAAACCCTAAACCCAAAACCCTAAATCCTCATGAGCAGGATAAGTTTCCCGAAACCCGCTCTTCGCCCGAGCTCTCGGTCCCCAGCACCTCCCTGCTTCTTCACCTGCCGATCTCGTAAAAGACTGTTTTTTTAAGGGCTTCTTTCCGATCGTAGTAATAATATAGTTGTAATAGTAGTATTAGTAGTAATAGCAGTAAAAGCAGTAATAGTAGTAATAATAGAAAAAGATTTCGGGTTTTAGGGCTTAGGGCTCAAGCGCTTAGGTTTCTAGGGCCTACCTAAACCCACCCAAAGTAGGTAAAAGAATGGCCCAAAACAGGCCAGTATTCTACGTACTTTTGGGGTCCAGGTAGGGTTTATTGGGCCTGGCGATCTCCGAAGATATGTTGGGAGGCTTCGGGGCTTATTAGGTCCAGGGTTTAGGGTCTAGTGGCTTTGGGGTTTAGAGTTTACTATACTGAACTTAGAACCCTAGCAAAAATTACAATTTTAGCTGTTTCTTAGGGATTAGCATAACCACAAATTCAAAAATCTAAGTACCCCTAAGTTTAGGGGTTTAAGGCTTGGGGGTTTAAGGCTACATGGAGATCAGAGCCTTTGGAGTTCAGGAGATTTTGAGTGTTTACCTCGAGGCTCATACCCTACCCCTTTTTGAGGGCACCTACTTTTTAAGATAACAGATCCTAACCATACAACTAGGCATCCTGAAAAAGGGGTAGGCTACGAGCCTCTAGGTAGTGTTTAGGAACACCGTGGTGTCGTGCCTATACACAGCAGCCTCGCAAGAAGTGGTTTGGCACGGCGTTGAGGCCTTCAGATATGAGCTGTGTCAAAATTCATTGAGGTCTCAAGGGACACCCTAAACCCTAAACCCTAATCCCTAAACCCTCTTTGTAATCCACAGAGTCCCGAGACATCCAGTGAACCTTTCAGTGCAGAGATCGACGCTTTCAGCGCCTCGAGCCTTTGTTCACAGAGCTCTGGATACCTGGACCCCAAAAGTATGCAGAAACATTGCCATTTATGGGTATTGGGCCATTATTTTACCTACTTATTCAGCCGTACACTGCAGCGCCTAAACTGCTCCAAGGTGTTGATAGTGTCAATAGATACGTGGGTAGTTGTCAAAATTATGGTCCCTTTATCGTCCTTATTATAATGCGGCACCTAATAGTTAGGCTACCCCAAAATGGACCCTAATTTTGACAACCACACACACGGGCTTCAGGGTACCTCACTGTTCTACAGGACCCACATCGAAGGTGGGATGCCTGCTTGGTGGCCAGCACGAACTCGCGAGCTTTCCTGCGACTGCGAGAAACCGCAGCTGGTCGCTTGCCCCTGTGATCAAAAGCCATGAGCCGAAAAACGTTAGACCATGATATGCTCCGACTCTTCCGATCCTTACCTCCGCGTAGCTAAAATGTGGTCTCTCCGAGCGGACGTGCGAGCATCTTGAGACGCATGGTCTAAACGGCTTGCTGGCTTCAACTAAGTTGCTGGCTTCAACGAAATTAAGACAGTCGAGGCTCTTGCATGTGTTTATCGGCTGTGAGATCATGGACCGGGCAGCCTCCAATTCCGCTTCGCCCTCAGGTAGCTGTCCTCCACGGACCCTCGGTCCAAGAAGCAGGATAATTAATTACTCATACCAGTTTGAGAGTTCCGAGAATCTATCATGGGCCCCCCAAAACCATACTCCAATAACTTATAACTGAAGAGCCCTTCTCTGCTACATACAATGGCTGACTGCAAGGTTCAATTTGAACATGAACCTGTCTAAAGCCAGGCTCGCAGCACCACTACTAGGTCCTGAAGCTCCAAATCCCACTTGCGATCCAACAAAAATGCTAGGTTCACCCCAAAAGAGCTTGCAAGACCACGATTTAGGGTTTAGGGTCTAGGGTTTAAATTTAGAGTTTAGGGTTTAGGGAGCATAGTCCTGTATGTATGAGCGTAGTAGGGGCTTGAGCACTTTTGCAGAGATTATGGAAGTCAGTAAGCAGAGGGTTTAGGGTTTAGGGTTTAAGGGTTAAGGGTTCAGGGTTTAGGGTTTTAAGCCTCCCGATTATTGTCGAACTTTGACACCATGGGTTGCTACGTTCTCTTTCACTTCTACCCACAAGGACGCCTGTCCTTCGCAAACCTTGCCTGTCTGCTCTACCTGTTTGAAGATTACATCTTCACAGACTTCTAAGTTTCCCAGGGAAGATGCCTATGTCCATGCTCTGGCCGTTTCTTAGAGCTTCAATACCTCTCGAGGGAAGGCTTGGCGTTACCTCAACCATCCCATGTCTTGTAGTCCTGCCACCACTCAGCCTTAGATTCTGTGCTGCGTTCTCAGTCACCCACTGGCAGAAACTATATACCTTTTGGGATTACTGGTATTACGGTACTACTGTAAAGGTGCCTGCCACAGAAAAACCTAGTTTACGGAGCGGAACGTGTCTTCGCATGTTTCTGCGAGTGTCTGAGACGCCCTTTGCTTTAGGCTCCGACCGAGTTCGACGATGCGGAGGAATGCTACGCAATAGTGGCCATATATCTGTACGGTCTACGCTTGGACTCAAGCCTGAAAATGTGGTTCCTATATAGGTATTTTGAAGTCGAAGTAAGTATACATACTACACGGTGACATGGACCCTAAGGCCTTGGACCAAACCTGGCAGCAAACTCCCAAACCCCTAGAATGTTAGAAAACCTAGACATAGCACACACCTTCAAAAGCTGCTCCGCCATATGGGCAGTTCTCTAAATATGGGTCCCCCCAAATAGAACGGCACCTTTGTAAAAAAAAGGCCCCTCACAGGGACCCTAATTAAAAAGAACTACCCACATGCGCTGTCCGAGTTCCCTGCTCCATCGCTGGAGCTCAAGTCGCTCATCTAGCGTCTTCGAGCTCGGCACTTCCTGCCAATTTCGCTGTGGTTTAGATGGTAGGGGCCTTTATAGGGTTCCTAAAAAGGGATCTATAGGGATTCCTTAAAGGGATCTATAGGGTTTAGGGTTTAGGGTCTACTTAAAGTTATAATTAGGTGACTATACTTATAACCCCAATTCAGGTACTTATATCCTTACGTACTGAATCCCATGATCCTCCAAGTAGGGGCCTTTATAAGGAGAATAGGGTTTCATAGAGTTCCTGTGAAGGGGTTACTATAAAGGGATCTATAAGGGTGCTATGATATAGGGGCCTTAGTACATAAATGAGAATAGGGTTTGGGGGCCCAGTACACCACAGTCATAACAAGGAATCCCCAAAATAGTATAGGCACTTGTTAAATTCAGGCAACTATATTAGATGATAGGGTTTCTCATGATCGGTGTCCCTACAGTGACGCAGCATCCCCGTAGGGACGGTCTGTAAGATCCCCCTAGCAACGACCAAAGTTCATGTCTCGAGCATAAGCACTATTAGCAACCCCCTCCCCAATTTCAGTTGACAAAGACATCCACTAACAGAAACCCCGGTGGCAATCATGCCTCTGATGGTGACGATGAGGATGCTAAGAACATGATGATGATGCTGCGATGCTCTGAGGCAGTCAGCACAAGACTTGTTGTATTGAAACTCGGGTCGGGTCAAAAGAATCTCAGACAGATTCTGGCTCTAGCTGACGAACATCGATAACGATAAGCTTCCAAGAACTGTGTGGCCCTAGGGACTTTAGGCTATTCGAGTGCAGGGTATTAATGCTTGCGCGGAGTCTGGTGTTCGCATGGCTCTCACGGATCAGGGTATTGAGGTTGAGGCCGCGTGCGGCCCAAGGCATAGAATTCAGATGCACGCCCCACTCTTCAGCTCGCAACCGTAAGAGCAATCTAGGGTCGGGCACCCCAAGACCCCCCTCCTGTTCCCAAGCCTGACACCGAAGCCCTTAGCCCTGGCGGCAATCTGTGGTACATGATCCGTGCTATGATCCACTCTGAACCGGAGCTTACCCTGCAATAATCTACCACAATGCATACTCGTGCTACCCGAGTCAGTGCTCGTTCATTGTACCCGACTCCCTTAAGGCCCCCAGACCCGGCAGCCTACATAGAATCGCCTTGGGGGAATTGTCATTGCCGTCAGTTTTCGCTGCCAGATTCAATTCTCTGAGGCCGCTGAGGACCGTCTGGGGCGGACTTTGCTTTTTGGCTTATCGGTTTTGGGTTTAGGAGGGCCGCGGGGTGTAAGGACCTGAAGATTGAGGTTTCGGATGCAGTGTTTGGTGTGTGGAAGGTCTAACCTAAGCCGCAAAGCCTAAGCCTTCTAAACCGCGATAGCCCGCGACGCATGCTCATGCCCTTCAGGAGGGCTCAATGCTGGTAGGTGCAACAAGGGATTGGCCGTCCATCTATCAACGTCGGATCAGGCATGGTAGCTCAGCTCACTTGTTGGTTGACATACCCTAAGGCTCCAAGGACTTACACCTTAAGGTTGAAGACCACATTATATACTCGGCTTTTGGGCTGTCTTGAGCCAGTAATGTGCACGCCCCCTCGGATCGAGGCTCTCGGCATTGAAGGTTTAGAGTTCATGCCTTGGCTAGTATCAATGTTGTGGTAGAGAATGTAGGTGTTCACACAGCGGTTTCGGGCTTTCCGGTATGAACCTTCCTTCCAAAGCGTGGCAAAGCCATTGGGATCATGAACGAAGAGTCTCAAAAGTTGGCTCAACAAGTGTCACGCACAGGTCCGTCGTAAAGCCATTCCCTGAAATCGTACTCCTTCTAGCGCCGCCATGTGCCACCAAACATGCAACTCCCTAAACGTCACCAGCCCTGAAGCCAAAACCTTCCACAGTGGAACCTCCTCATTGCATTCTCTGAGTAGGGCACACGGGCACGCGAGAAGGCCGCACGCTTCTGCCGGAGGTGATCGGGCTTCGGATGCGTAAGAGCTGGATTGAGGACGGTGTGTAACAGTGCCGTGGATGCCGGAGATAAGGCTACGGGTGTTGTGGTCTAACGAAGCTCTTCTTCCCTAGGCTGCCATAAGGAGTTTGAGTCTGAGCCCTTCACAGAAGGTCAACCTCAGCGACACAGGGGTCGAGACAAGGCGATGATGAAGGTCCAAGACAGACTTTCAGCACCTCCGTAGTGTATGGTCTGGGGCACTGTACCGGTGCCTCGCTTGGACGTCGGCCTCGAATAATTACGTCGTCCAATGCTGAGCTTGGCGACGGACGGGCGAGGAGACAGGCATCCCGCACTGCACTTCCGCAGCCCCCGGACAAGAGCAACGTCCAAGTAACCTTAAAACACGCATCCAACATCTGTCAGCCTCCACCCAAGAACTTGCCAAGAACCCGACCCATCTCTCCACAAGAACAGACAGCAGCGCAGCTTCCAAAACTAGCCCGACCAACATCAGACCCAAAATGCCTAAGTCCCCGTGCAGCCCTATAATAGAATAGGAAATCCTGTAAAATTTACGGTGAAGCCCTGTGGAACCTGAGCAACAACCAGACACGACCCTCGATCCGACGTGAGATCACCGTGCCTGCGCCGGGCTCAGGTCCGGTTCCTGCTTCGCCTCATAAGGCTGAGGGGTTTGCGGTTTCATCGACCGGGATTCAGGGTTCAGGGACGGTCATTCGGAGGATCCTTGCGTATGGTGCTGTATGGTTTTTGTATGGGTTTAAACGGTTTCGGCATGGCTTTTCTATGCTTGTTTGTGTACGGTGTTTATGGTTTTATGAGTTTTATGTTTCGGTTTCGAGTACACTCCAGTGACAGATGGCTCTCGAAAACTGAGACGAATGTGGGAGTAGACCTCGAAGACTGATGGCAAGCACAGGTAAAAGACAACTCCCTATTGCTACTAATGCCATGACTGATCTTATGAGTTATTAACTATTACTACTGATATTGTCATTGTTATTACCCGTCTCTCGCTTGACTCAAACGAACTTTGGCAACCTGCGCACTGCCTGGAGACCGTGACAACGGCGGGGGTCACTCCGTATCTAAACTCTTCGAGCCGAGGCAGGATCGGTGACTCAGCTCCCAAAGCATGAACAAAAGGGGTAACATGTCTCGTGCATGAAGGGAAAGCACAGGATTGTCGCATTCCGAAACTGAAGGTTGGCTAAAACGCGAATCGTTACGCCAGCCAACCAGCCAAAAGGATGCCCCGAAGCAAGGAAGCACCATTTATCGGCAATGCTCCCCTACCTGGAGACCTGCTGGTATGGAACGCTGGGCCATCCAAAGGACACTCTAACTGCCCCATGTTGTAGCCCAACGTGCCAGTGACGAAGGGTGTAGGCGGACCTGCTGAAACTGGTGAGGTCAATTGTCACCAGCCAGGCACCCCTCTGATGGGCGGCACAAGCACATCTAGAATGTTCGGCGCAACAACAAGAATCAGAGTATCTTCCGTGTCTGCACATGTCACGAAAGCACGCGTCTTTGGCGACACTCTTGTCAACCTAAGTCTGGTACCCCACCCGTTGTCAAGCAAAAGATTGCAGCGGTCCACAACGAAAGGACGACAGGCGATGACAGAAGCACCTGCCAACCGGCCAACATGATGCCCCGGCCAACGAGTGCACTCAAAAGAGGACTCAAGCTGGTGGAGTTACATGATGGTATGGACCGCCGGGCCGTCCAAAGGACACTCTAACTGGTCCATGTTGTAGCCCAACGTGTCAGTGACTGCGGGTGTAGGCGGACCTGCTGAAACTGGTGAGGTCAATTGTCACCAGCCAGGCACCCTTCTAATGGGCAAAGCAAGCGAATGGCACAGACTTACAGTTGGAGCATTGCACTCCTTCCATCGCCTCCCACCAGTGACTGCTGTGTTGTCTTGAACGGCTGAATGGATAATACTGCTGATGCAGAAACGCTGCATCACAAGGCCGCTCATCACGTTAATATGATTCAGTGATTGCTCACAAAGCATGAACATAAAAGGTAACATGTCTGGTTGCGTGAATTCAAAGTACAGGATTGCGGCATTCCGAAACGGAAAGTCGGCAAGCACTCATCGCTGCGCCTGCCAACCAGCCAACAGGATGCCCCGAAGCAAGGAAGCACTCTCTCAGTGCTTCCCTGCCAGGAGACCTGATGGTACGGAACGCTGGGCCATCGCAAGGACACTCTAACTGGCCCACGTTGTAGCCCATGGTTCCAGTGACGAAGGGTGTAGGCGGACCTGCTGAAACTGGTGAGGTCAATTGTCACCAGCCAGGCACCCCTCTAATGGGCAGAGCAGAGCAAGCACATCTAAAACGTTTTTGCGCAACAGCAAAAATCATGGTGCCTCCTGTGTCTGCAGATTCCAACAGACACGCATCGTTGGACACAATCCTTAACTCTGGCACCCCACCCCTGGTCTCGGCAAGCTTGAAAAGAATAGACTAGCATAGACTAGCCATCACTCTTGAAGCAAGGCTCAGGAAGCCGTAGCAACACCCCTTGCAAAGCTTGAGCACAACCCCGACATGTTGCCCTTACTGAATACCAAGCATAGGCTTGCAGCGGTCCACAACGAAAGGTCAACATGCGATGACAGAAGCACCTGCCAACCGGCCGACATGATGCCCCGGGCCAACGAGTGCGCTCAAAAGAGGACTCAAGCTGGTGGAGTTACATGATGGTATGGACCGGTGGCCTTCCTCGTCCAACTTCAGGATTTCACTGTACATTGCCCTGTAATCATAGTCAAGATCTCTGGGAACACGTTGTTTAAACACTCAAGCCTCTATTGTAGGCACTCGCACCCCAGCAGATTCCAACCCAACACCAGTCTTATAACAATCCATGAACAACTGCAAACTAAGGCGGCGCCCGATAAAAAGAAAAAAACACAATCCCGCGTGCAAAGCCACCCTAAACCTTACCTTAACCCTGAAAAACCTACCTTTTAGAGTTCCTTACTATGATTTCTTTCTATATAAGCCCTTAAAAATGTAGGTTCTTCGGGGTTAAGGTAAACCCTTCTCCCACGAAGGCTGGCGAGCCTGCGCCGGGCTAAGGTCCGGCTCCTGCTTTCCTTTTGCCTGAGGCCAGAGATGACTCCAGTGATGAGTGTCAGGGTATGGGACTTACAGGCTTTACCTGTAGCCGGAAAGACCTACCTTTTTAGGGTTCCTTATTATGGTTTCTATATATAGTTCCTTAAAAAAGGTAGGTCTTTTCGGCTACAGGTAGCAAGGCTTCGGAGGATTTAGGGTATAGGGCTGAAAGGCCTTACTACAGCTTTTGAAGATTGGGGCTCTAGTGTCTAAAGCTTGGAGGGTTTATAAATGGTTGTAGGGACCATGACCGCAGGATATGGGGTGTAGAGCTAGGGATATCGTAATTATCGTCGTCGCCATCAATGTCAACACCACGGTACAGACACATGTGCCCAATAAACCATGATTCTGCATTAAACAGAGCAACGCATCATTGGATGCCAATATGAGCCAAGGGATGCAAAAACCTGCGTACACACATTGTGTGTGCATACATACTCCTCAGCCTGCCATCCAGGTATGTACATATAATATATATATATATATATATATACATATATATACATAGATGTGAGAGACTGTGCATGCTTGTGCGCACGTATGTATATGCCTATGAAGCATGCATGTCTGTATGTAAAGGAAGGAGGAAGTACAGAAGGAAGGAGGCCAGCCAGCAAACACGAATATTATTATGTGTGTATGTAGGTATGTATGTACTTTTCTACATATGCGTGCAAACTCATGACATCTGTATATGCATGGATGGATGGATGGATGGGTGGATGGATGGATGGATGGATGGATGCATGCATGTGTGGATTCATGCTTACATCAGGCCTACATGCCTGCATATCTGCTGATGAATGCAACCGACTGCAAGGCAAGCCTACAGTAGCAGCCTGTGAAATGTACTAGAAACGCCGGAGCGCTGCATAAAATAGATGCACTTGCATGCATGTACTGGACATGTTTATGGTAGCATGCATGCACACACGCAAGTAGATATAGATCTGGGTACAGGTATGGACCTAGATCTCGAATCAAGATCTGCAGATATCGCTTCTGATACATGACATATACATATGTATATATGTACATATATCTGTATATACGCATACATATATATGGTACCCCCCCTCCCAAAACCCACCCTGACATATCAAGGGCCGTGTTAATTGACACGGGCCGTGCTAATTAACACGGCGCCCAGGAACCAAGAACCAAGATTCCCAGAAAACTTTTAGGACAACACCTTGGTTCATGTGCTTGGGCCGGGGACCCTGTTAATTCACACGGGCCGTGTTAATTAACACGGTGCCCAGGAACCAAGAACCAAGAACCAAGATCCCCAGAAAACTTTTTGGACAGCATCTTGGTTCCTGCGCATAGGCCCGTGTTGAACACCAGGTCCGGGAACCAAGGTGCTGTCCAAAAGGTTATCTGGGAATCTTGGTTCTTGGTTGTTGGTTCCTGGAGGTCGTGTTAATCAACACGGTCCCCGGCCCACGTGCGGGAACCAAGGTGCTGTCCAACAAGTTTTCTGGGAATCTTGGTTCTTGGTTCCTGGGCGCCGTGTTAATTAACACGGCCCTTGATATGTCAGGGTGGGTTTTGGGAATGATAGATAAGGATTGAAAATATGGAAAGACAGCCTGAGTCCAAGATCTCAGTGTAGCTTTTGGATAATGGGAACCCTATGAAGAAGTCAGGAACCAAGAAGAATACCCTTACAAATACCTTATAGAAGCCCCCTCTTCTGCACCAAGAAGAATCTTCATACAATATACGCGATAGAGTTCCTTCCTAAATATAGGCTACAAAATACTTATTGTACAATGCCTTATGCAGTACCTTATAGAATACACTATAGGATGCCCTATAAAATACCATCTGGAATAGCGTGCAGTAGAATATCTTACAGAAGATCGCCTATGTAATATATGCATTGTATACCTCAAATATACCTCATATAGAATATCGCTAAAATACGTTTTGGGATACTGATACCATTTAAAATAACATATAGAATACCCTAAAGCGCACGATTTGAATCAGGAACATCAAGAGGAGCCCACCGATTTATAGCGTGGCATACAGAGGACATTAGGCAATACTTCGTGGTATTGTGTTGGTTCGAACGGTGTCAATACTCGTCCGTACACACACACACACACACTCTATCTCTCACTCTCTCACTCTCTCACTCTCTCACGCTCTCACTCTCTCACTCTCTCACTCTCTCACTCTCTCACTCTCTCACTCTCTCACTCTCTCTCTCTCTCGCTCTCTCTCTCTCTCTCTCTCTCTCTCTCTCTCTCTCTCTCTCTCTCTCTCTCTCTCTCTCTCTCTCTCTCTCTCTCTCTCTCTTTCTCTCTCTCTATTTATTATCGGTTAAGCTTCCGGGGTGGGTTTTGGAGGGGGGTAGCATATCTCTATATATATATATATATATGTATATGTATGAGAGTGAAAGAGCGATAAGTACAAATGTAGATGCAGTAGCTTAGATGTGTGTGTGTGTGTGTATAAAGACTTACACATACGTGTACACATATATACATATACATATGCACACAAGTGCACACAACGACACATTAATCGAGGCACATAGACATACATCAATCATTGCGAATTGGTGCATTCGCCTAAATCCCGGCTTCCTCAGGTACAGTGTCCTGTCCTGCATGGAAAACTGTATGATCAAACGCCCCACTTCTCACAAGCTGGTCAATCTGGAGCAAAGCACAAACATGTCTCCTTGACTGAACTACAACCGCTGGGGATTGTAGCGTTCTTACCGAGAGGACAGTCAACAGGCGATGCTGGCGCCAGTCGACCGGTGCAGGATGATGCGCCAGGTTCAGGGAGTGTCCCCTCCCATGTGGGAGAGAACCCTCAACCTGTGCCCTAATGCTCACCTGTGGTAAAGAACGCTGGGCCGTCCAAAGGACACTCTAACTGGCCCACATTGTAGCCCAAAGTGTCAGTGACGAGGGGTGTAGGCGGACCTGCTGAAACTGGTGAGGTCAATTGTCACCAGCCAGGCACCCCTTTAATGGGCAGAGCAAGGCAAGCACATCGCAAAGATTCACAATTGGAAAATTGCACTCGGTTCCGTCGCCTCGCACCAGTGCCTTGCACTTTGTCTTGGACAGCCTAGCTGTTTGATACTGCTGATGCGAAAACACTGCACAAGGCAATTCACCGCGGTATAAGATTCCGTATAGGTACTCTCCATCGACAGCTTGCTTGCGTTGGACACATTTGTCCATGGCCTAGACTGACACAAGTCCCCACATCAGGAGCCATTCTGGAGTGCTTGGCGATGACTATCACATATTATCACACAAAGCAAAGGACAAGCAACCCCACAGCCACTCCCTCAAATTTTGAAAAACCGACCTGTAGCTTAGAGCACGGGGTGCTGCTGGCAATCACAATGTGTGGGTGCTACAGGGTATAAGGCTCACGCGCTGTAGGGCTTAGGCCTATTGTATGGTTGTTTATAACAAGGGTTGTACAAGGCCCAGTGTATTTCGGAAATCCTAATGCCAGAACCAATATTGAATTGCAGGCAGATACACACATTTGGCTTGGAAAGCAATAAACAATATCTAGTACTCTACTATAAGGTTCCAGCGCCACATAGTAGTGCAAAGCGACTAGACAAAAACTCAAGCTACATCCGCGAGCCTCTACTTTTGGGAGGCTTTTCAGCGCGGGCCAGGCCATGGTGGGTCATGAAGGAAGGAGATCGCGTGCACTACGGATGGGGCTTTGATCTTGGGGTGTTCATCTCACCAGCAATCTTCGGGAAGAGGATTTGCATGGAAACTCATAGACCTCAAGCCTTGTCAACCCTGCTCTCACCGCGACATGTAAGCATCCCTTGACAGAACCTGCTTGGGGAGGGCGATGTAGATGACTTGGGTGGCGGGGCGGGGATTGAAAGAGTTATAAAAGTCTTGAGCCACGCGCGAGGAGTGCACATGGTTCGATCTGGTCCGAGCGGGCTCTTCAAGATCCCAAGAACCCAAGGACAACACACAGCATCTTGCTGACCGGCAAGGAATCCCCGAACGACACTTCCAGGACTCTGGATCCTGCAGCAGGGCCTTACCCATTGGCTCCATAGTAAACAGTTCATTTTTTGGGATTACCTTATAGGTTTCAAGATATGAACCCCCAAAAGGAGCTACTATGGAGCCTCTAGGTCAGCACCAGAAACTCAAGAGCAAAGATGTACAGTACAGGTCGAAATCCTATTCCACATACCTGAGAAGCGCCGCATCAGAATCTTGCTTCGATCGAGACGCAGTGCACAAGGACCGCTTAGGCTTGACAAACTCTCGGACTTGTCAGAATTCTCCTCTGAATCCTAAAGCCCTGATGAGGGCTTAGGGCTTCGGTCATTTAGAGCTTCTGCCTGTTGGCCCGGCTACTGACACATCTTTCTACAAGCCTAAAAGCTCACCAGCACGCCAGTCTGTACGAGCCAATCAGAAGGTTTTGGGGTATATGGGAGTTTCCGAAAATGGGGGACCCTCGTATACTACCCTAAATAGTAGGATCTTTATTATGAAGACCCCAAAATAAGGAACCCACAGTTTTCGGAAACTCCCATATGATACTGTAAATATAAGAAGAAGACGACAAGTCATAATGTTCGTAATGGTCTAAGCAACAGCATTACTCCAAGAACCTTGTGGTTAAATGTGCAGCTACCGAGGGTAAGGCGTTTTAGAACCATACCACGAACCGCGACAAACACTCATTCAGGACCCTTATCCCTAGACTGCTAGACATACTGTTTTGATCCCTTATGAGTCTCTCTTCTACACCCCTACGTTCCTTAAAGCCCAAAACCCTGAAACCCTATAATCCCAAAACCCCGAAACCCTTTGTTGTGCCCATACCGAAACCCTACACCCTTTCTTGTGCTCAGAAGCTACTTGGAGGATCATGGGACTTAGTAAGTAAGGTTATAAGTACCGTAATTGGGGTTATCAGTAGTTATAAATATAGTTACCTTGATTATAACCCTAGTTACTACGTCCCATGATCCTTTAAGTAGTCACCCAAGGTATGGGCAACTGGGCTCATTGAGATGATTCTAAGATCTACCTTTAGAGGGGATCGGAGGGTTCTTTAACGGGATCTATAAGGGTTCCTAAGGGCTCCTTTAGAGGGATCTATAAGCCTTTGGGGCTTTGGGTTTAGGGTTTGGGGTTTACATCAACCCCCAAACAACCTACTTTTCTAGGGCTCCGTCCTTAAGGCGCCAGGATTATAGGGTCCTGGCACCCATCCCCAATTTCTGCGGTACACCGAAGCTCCAAAGACTCTCAACCTCTGGCAAAGGCTCAAAAGCCTGGAGTAGGAGCCCCATTCCAGCCTCTGAGTCGGGAACCCCTATCCATTAAGCAATATCAAGCACTACTTCTTCCGACTTACCTAGACTCGACCCTCCTAGATACCCTTGATGAGGCCTAATCTGAAACTCTTTGTTCTAAAGATAATCGGTGGCTCCTGGTACACTACGACCTCAAGACGCAAAAGCCTGCTTAAACCCCTAAACTCCTAACCGTAAACCCTCCCTAAACCCGTAATCCCAAAATCCTCAAACTTTTTAAACCCTAAAATCCCTAAACCCTAAAAACCCCAAGCCCTAAAACCTATATGTAAAGCCTAAGCCCCGTACTCCAAAACCCCAAAACCCTGCCCCCATGGAGACGTCGCTGAAAAAGAGGCCTGTATTCCGGCTTCTCGGCTGCGGCCCAAGGAGATACGAAGCCCTGGCTCTAGCTTCTCCGTCACTGTAGGGTTTCTGGGGCTCATCGGGTTTATAGGGCTTTAGGGGTTTAGGGCTCTAGGGTATATAGGGTTTAGGGCTTTTCAGGGCTTAGAAACGGCTGTTGTCGTTTTGGGTTCAGGCTTTTGTTGGAGGGTTTGGGGTTTTGGGATTCTGGCCTATAGGGTTCGTACGGCTTAGGCTTTGGGCTCCAAACAGCCCAACGTATGTACTATTCCTAAACTTTAGATCTCACAGTATGTCTTGTTTGGATACTTGGAGCCGTAGGAAATAGGCTTTGCGAGGTCTCGGGTTCAGCGTTCAGGCTACATGCGCACGGCATGTAACTATGATGTTGGCAGCCCTGTCTTTGGGACCTTGGATGCTCACCATCATTAGCATTAGCACTCAAGAGTCTCAGAGAGTGTTGCCTACTTCGGTCACGGCCCAGCTCTCTTCCAATTCCAATGCCCTGCAGCAGCCTCGGGGATCACACGGCAGTTGCCTCAGAAATGTTTCGCACTGCGACTCAGTTGCTGGGGCTTACGGTTCAGAGTTGAGGGTTTAGTTAGGGAAGTCCAGGGCTAGGGTTTAGGGTGATGGTGCACAACAGGAGCCGATGGACCAAGGCTTGGGGCCCTCAAAGCAGCTTGCTCAAAAGCCCGAAATGCCCTCCGAAGTGGGGCAGACAGCTCTCTTGCACTTACTCCTCAGTCGCCCTGCTTCATTCCCTTGAGTGAACCTCTCATAGGCCTTTCGGTTTGGAGCGGTGTCGGCTACGTATCACGGCGGCAGACAAACTAGGAGCTCAAGATCGGAAGAAATCGGGCAGGTGACCACCTGTTTGCCCCGTGGACGAAGACTTCTACATCGGATATACATCTTCAAGCGAATAAACCTGAAGACCGAAGATACCTGGGCGTACCCCATGCACTGACAACTCGAACTCTAGCTTGCAAGCCCGCTACATCCGAACATTTGCATCTCTCGCAACATGCGAAGCGTAGCTTGCAACCAACAGCTGTTTTGGAAACACCGCGATGCATTCAGGAAGACGTATACGTCTTGGGCTTCAAATCAAATAGCAGACATCTTTCAACTCCCTGCCGGGCTCCGCAATGCTCAATCTCAGTGTGGACGCTGAAAGCTGAGTGTCTCCTCAAAAAGGTGCGAGTTAAACCCTGCCCTCGTGGCTGGCAGCCTCAGCTAAAGCCCAAGCTACCTGAACCGGGAGCGGAGAATGTCTAAAACTCGCCCGGCGGCGGATGAAGTGCCACCCCGGTGGAATAGACCAGGAGACCTAGTACAAAGCTCAACAAAGCAACACTTAAAGTCATAGGGCTTGAGGGTTATAGAGGGCTTGCACAGCATCTTATTGCTGAGGACACCTCATCATTCGAACGCTTTCTGAAATGCCACTAGGCAGAGCGGGGATAAGGGTTTGCGGGAAGAGCTTCACAAGGCGTGCGATGCGAACTGTGCCTCTTGCTTCCGGGGGATTTCGCTAGGGCCGCTAGGCTTTCCTTAAGACCTTTAACAAGCAGCCCGACACAGGTTCTACAAACAAGGTTTCAGCGGCACCATGAGGAATTGTGATTGTAGGTTCCAGGGGCCACGTCGGACTCGTTCTGTGACACCTTTACTAACATCAAAACACTATTTATGCCACTCTCAAGCGAACTCATCTCGTACTTCCGAATAACTACCCAGCAGACAGTGCTCTGGAACAGAAGCCTGTATAACTAGGCAATCCTATTTTCCTTGAGGTTCCTATTCTAGCATATTTTAACTATATACTACGTACAACTATACCCCGAAGCCAGTCCCATAGTAGACAGCAGCCTCGACGAGACGTCTCTTGCTTGGCTAGCGCGCAAAGTCTTCCAACGCAAAAGCCAACCCTATAAGCCCTTAACCCCAAGCCCAAAACCATAAACATTAAACCCTGTAAACTCTATAAGCCCTTAACCCCAAGCCCAAACCATAAACATTAAACCCTGTAAACCCTATAAGCCCTTAACCCCAAGCCCAAAACCATAAACATTAAACCCGATATGACAAATTCTTCAAAGGAAGTCTTCCCACTCTTAGACTCTGAGCAAACTGAAAGGCACTACACCCGCAAGCCTCGACCCCTATACTATGAGGGAGTCCCTTACACTGACTGGTAGTCCTTATTCCGAATACCGCGATATTTACCTTAAAACCCATTCTAATTGTTCAGGCACCGTTTTGCGAAATGACTGTACATGTCCTTACAGAAACCTGATTGTTGAACCTTTCAACGGACGTGTTCTCTATTCCCAGCCTCCACCAAGGTGGGGTCCCGCAGAGGTCTTCCGTGATCGTCCCACTGCGCAGCAGCTCGAGAATTAACTTGTGAGGGTGCTCGGGACTGATCTCGTGGCTTCAGGGACCCTTAGTGGGGACCCCTACACTATAATGGGTTATATAATGGGTATATAATAGCTATATGAAGGGTATAGGCATTTATCGGGTTACGGGATTTAGGGGTTTTTCAGGGTTGCAGGGTCCCCAGGGTTTTTGCGGTTTAGGACTTTCGGGTTTCGGGGTGAGACCTGCCATTTCTCTGCAGGGGCCACAATGGGAGAATACAGTTCAGGGACTGGTTTAGGGTTTAGGGTTTAGGGTTTAGGGTTTAGGGTTTGTTTAGTTAGGGTCCTGCTTCGCAGGCTCTTCGCAAGGCGCTATCGTTTCATGAAAAAGAACCCCGGAAGATAAGCCCTAAACCCTATAAACCCTCAGCCCTAAACCATAAATCCTAAACCGCAGCCCCCCCCCCCCCCCCCCCGGGGATGCCTCGGTTGCACGCAGGTTGCCTGTAAAGCTGTGGCCCTCGGGGAGGTGCATCAGCGTGTACCTGGCACGAATGCCTTCTTGTGGTTAGGGTTTCGGGTTTCTTTACGGGTTACTTGTACCA